GGAAATGTCATTGCTGTATGCATCATGTTGAGTGCTCACAGATGTAGACTAGCATAAAAGAAAAAAATAGCCTTATAAGAAGAGATGAGCTGTAGGTAGGAGAACCTGGCACTAAGGGAATGCAGAATAAACATCTATGCTCATTCATGTGAAAAGCAGCTTCCAGTAGCAGCTGTACTCGAGGAAGTGCAGACGGTCAGACATGACAAGATACAGCGTCAGACTGACAGACTGACTGGCAGGCGTAGAGGGCTGCAGGGATAGCTCGTGTCACAGATACAACTGCAAGAAGGCAGAAGAGTGAAATACTTCTAAATAACAACTAATTGCAGCAAAGAAACAGTACTACAAAAAGTACCGTGCTGTTGGTTTTTACAGCTGGGAAGGGCAGGAAGAGGGGAGGCAGCGATGAATGGGGCATAGCAGATAGATGTTTTACACACACCGTTTTGGGAAACCCCTGGTTGCCTGGCTGGTCTTTTTGAGCCTGGCAAACTTATTTCATTCTCTTCTGATTGTGCTAGGAAAAAGGAGGATTTTTACTGTCCTTGTAACAAACTATAAAGCTCTTTTTAGTTTTGTAACTACAAGGCAGCTATTTCAAAAGCCCAGAGCATAGTCAGCTCAAGAAAAAGTCAAATATTTGGATAAGTACTTTTTGTTTAACTTAGTATTTTGTCAGGAGAAAGAGCACTGTTCTTGCAATGCAACACAACTCTAACATCTTTGTTTTGATTTCAGAAGTCTACAGAACAAATGAAGAAAGTACCAACCATTGTCCTGTCTGTTTCTTACAAGGGAGTCAAATTTATTGATGCAACAAATAAGGTACGTGCAATTGTTCAATATTAGCTTTTTTTTCTCACAAATAGGGAAAACTATGAGACGGGCTCTGTAAGAGAACCAGGCCAGAGAGGGGACAGAGTTGAACTTTGTGTTTTCCTTTCTTTTTTCTCTCTTCTATCCAAAATGGATGTAATCTTATTGTCATTCTCCAGAAACTCAGTCTGGAGGACAAGTGAAGCAGCTTTAATGGCTCATTTGGAGAACATTGTGTCCAACCTTCTGCCATTAAAAGGCAAGCTTATGACAAAAGACATTTGTCAGGGAGCCTCTGTGGAAACCTTTTCCATATTCTTCCCTATACAATACCTATAAATGTGCAGAAAATATATGTATATTTGTTCATTAATATAATTTTAGCCCCCCCCAAAAGGTGTCTCAATAAACAATAAAGATGCAAGGTTTTATGCAGGGCCAGCCATTGTAAGACTATGAAACATGAGCCTTGAAGGTCCTTTTCAAATGTCAGAGCTTCTCTGAGAACTATTTTCCTGGTAGTAGCTATTTGACTCCCTGAACTGCAACAGCTTCTTAACAGTTGTTTTTCCATATTTTTTTCATCTTCCTGTGTGGCAATTTCTTTGTTTCTTGCATTTTAAATACACCCAACATTTTTTAAAAAAGAAAGCAGAAATTGAAGGGTAGAGAATTCAGTGATGGGTAGAGCAATGGGTTATTACTTAGCCAAAGTAAAATGTACCAGCTCTATAAGCAGGAGTAAAGTAATGCATTAATTTCTCTTCTTCGGATGTCTAAAATGGCAAGAAAATGCAGTCCATACTGATGCTTGCCTATGAATGGAAAAGAAATTATCATTTCTATTATGTGACTAAAATTCACTAAGAGATATAAAAAAAAAATCTGGCAACCCAGCTACCTGACCAGGTTAATAATGTATATAACTGCTTTGTGTTTCTGAACATTCAGACCACACAAAACCCAGTATCCGTCAAACTTGCCAAATCAGTCAGTTTTTTTAAAGGTGTTTACCTGGAACTGGGTTTTAAGTGAAAGAACAAAAGCAGATTTGTGAACTTCTGCTAGAGTTTGGAAGCTGTATCCAGGGTTAGAAGATGGCATGAAAGAAAAACAGTGGTGAAATTACTGTTATGTCAAGTCTGGCATATTTGCCAGAGCAGAGAGGCCAGGGATTCCTGTCAGCTCCTTTTTCTTCCATTGATGCAAAGCTGTTCTCCGATGTGCAGGGCATAAATCAGGACATTGTAATGCTACTAACTCTGACTTGGATAAGGCTGTTTTCAGCTCTTAAATCTCTTCTGTAGTGTAAAGGATGTAAGTGCAATGTCCTTAGGTTTACAAAAAATTCAGGAGAACAAAAGAAGCTTCCAGTATCTCATTGCACAGTGCATATAATCTTATGTAAGAAGGAAACTTAAAAGAAGTTTGGCAAATTGCACTGTCTGTAGACTGGTCCCACTGAAATCTTATGCCTAGTAGTGCAATAGATGTATTTGATGGAGGTAAATAATGCCACAGTCCTGTTCTTTTTTTCTCAAGGGGTAGATTGCTTTCTCTCCAGTTCAAAATCTGCACTGCCTTTCCCTTCTGTAAAAACCAGGTAATAGCCTGCAACTCTCCCAGGAGCGTTGTTATCATCCTTGTCCACAGTGTGCTGTACCCAATTCCTTCAAGACCTAAAACAGATTAGCACTAAGGTGAGATCCTATTCAGACTTGTACCGCTTCCATACAAGCTTCTAGTTGACAGCGCTGGGCACCACTTAGCAATAAATGCATACTTTTTAATGACAAAAACAGCTAGCAGTTATGTGCTTGAAAACTCAGCTCTCATGGCTGTTCATCCTTTTCCTTTATGCCACCAAGCTAAGAATTTGTATTCTGAGCTGTAGCAGGCAAAGCTTCAGGTGACAAAGGGGCCCTGACCTTGTTCCACGACACCTATTTCAGTGGCGCCTTGAAGCTTGGCATGACACCACTTTGACATGACACCATTTCTTTGCAAGTGAGGCCAGAAAGAAATTGCTGCTTAGGAAAAAGTAGACTTGCAGAATTTTCCTGTGGGTCACAGCTAACCCTCACTTCTGGATGATTTCTGCCAGGAGGGGGATTGGCTGACACGAGGTAGACATGCCGAAGGAAGGCTGCTTAGCAAAAAGCTGACCTCTCCAAGGTATTCCCTTGGCAGAACCAGAACCAACTTTCAGCTTCCTTGCTTTTTGAGAACTGCTAGAGGTTTCTCTTGCCAAACTGAGTGGCAGTTTTTGGAACGACAGCTGTACAGTGTCAGTCAATGCCTAAGGAGCATACCCAGAAAAGCAAGCTGGTTCATAGCCTTGTAATTGCTACAGAGTAAGACTGTGGGTCTACTGGAATAGTGACCCTAGAAAACAGTAAACACATGCACTGAAAACATGTTTAATTTTGAAAGGAGATCACAGAGGATATCCTACAGATGCTAGGGAAAAGCTCAGTTTCACCACTAATTTTCATCCAGAAGATTTAGTTTAGGCATACCTCATTTTATTCAAAACAAACTTAATATGGCTATGTTTCCAAACTTCACTTGGTTGAAAGTTAAAACATTAAAATAATCTCCATGAGTTTTGACTGAAGTGCAAAACCCTGTGTCAACCCCAGGTCACCTAAGGAAGAGTTTCAGCAGAGCAGAGCTCTTTCCATGTACACTGCATAACTTCAGGTGATTACTTTGTGGCTCATGATTTGGCATAAATATTTCACATTATTTTAAGAACTTCCAAGCTTTAATTCTTTCTGCTTTTTAAACTACAATGTTGCCAATACAACATAAATAACAGTATATTACAGCTATATCTGTGGATATCTAAATCCCTGGTTTTGTTATAATTGTAATTCTCATCAAAATCTTTATTGCGGGTAGAAGTTATCAATTTGAGAACAAAGAGAAAAATAAAATGCTTAAAGTAACAGAAAAAGCCAATGGTTGTTAAGCAGAGATTATACATGTTGTAAATTGGCATATATTGAAGCATAAGTACTTGTTTTGTCATTTTTATGTATAATGCATTAAACAGATCAAGTATGTTGCAACAATTTAAGATTAAGAGGATTATTTCATTTCTTTAGTAACATTTTCCTTATCTTGGTTTTTCCATAATTTGAAATTTGGAATGCTTTTTATTAATTTTTTTCCTAAGCCATGATTTCTTCAATTAGATATATGACTTTTTGAAAACTTGACACCTACATGCAAGGGGGAAAGTTGCCACTTAGCAAATGAAAGAAAATATAGCAAAGCATTTTAAGTTATTTGGCTGCATATATTTTCTGTGGTTAAAAAAAGAAAAAAAAAGAAAAAAAAAAAAAGAGGAGGATAGGAGAGGAGAAGAAAAAGACAAGGATGAGGGAAAACCAGAGATGCTCTGAGATTGTTTTAACAGATGCCACTGAGGCAGCAGCAAATGGTGGCTGTGTGAGGGACCAGGCACTACAGATGTGACGTGTTCTGTGGTACAATAGTGACTTCATGCTGCAGCAGGCTTGTTCACTTTGGGGTTTTGTGGAAAAGCCAGAGCTACAGCCAGCAGGGCCACAGTTTAGAAAAGCATAGAAATTAACCGCTAAGTAAATTAATATTCAATGAATCATTCTTCTGTGTAACTAAATCTTTCGAAATGCGAGTGCGGCTGAAACAAGGCCTAATCATAAGCCACTCTGCAGTATCTTCTTCTCTGGCTTCATGGTTCCTTTGGCCTGAACACAGTAATTACATATCAGCAATTTATGTAATGAATATTCTTAATTTTTTGCAAAGCTTTAAGACAACTTTTTTTTATTTCATTGGACAGACATGCCCCACCTCTGTCTCAATAGTGTGCTGTAGCTTACATTGGCTGTTGCAAGTAGTGTTGCTCGGTGCATGGATGGTTTAATTTTTCTGCATCTCTTTTACAGGATGCTGTCAGTAAGTGGAGAAAAGTTGCCAGATCCTCCTGTAGTTATCTTTTTACTAAGCAGAAGCCTTTCAGGAGCTCAGGGTTTCAATTATAATGATGTTTGGTGTTTTTTTCTCTTGAAAAAGTATAGCTGAAATTTGTCAAACACGATGTGTGAAAAACTGGATATTGACCCTATTGGGTTTCATCAGATCCTGTCTGTCAGTAGACTGGAACAGTGTTATGTAGTGATCATGATACAGAAAGCAAGCAGCATCGTAAGATGCTCATATAGTGCTTTGAAACTGTATTTACAGCTGCATGCCAGGAAACGTCTCTTTTTCATAGGATACTGTACAAAACTCAAGTGGGCTCATAGGAAAGACTTTAGAATGTAATTGTTTCCTACCAGATTATTGGAAATTTTAGATATCGTTACAGAGGGTTGAAATTCCAATCACCTGTGTAAGATTGTACATAGAGTGTATGAATATATACAACTCTTAAATTTAATTCCTAAATTGATTGAAAATATTTTCTTTAAACAGAATATTATTGCTGAACATGAAATCCGTAACATTTCCTGTGCTGCACAAGACCCTGAAGACCTTTCTACATTTGCGTACATCACTAAAGACTTGAAGACTAATCATCACTACTGCCATGTATTCACTGCGTTTGATGTGGTCAGTTTATAGAAGATACTTCATTTAATAGTTCTTTGTAACAGCAATAGTTCTTTAATTCTGTTAAAACATTTCCAGGGTATGTGGTGATTAATGGAAGGTATCATTAATTTGCCACATGAAAAGACTAATCTACTGTGGGGATAGTAAAAGAACATTTCTGAAGAGCAAAGATTTTCTTTTTTATTAATCTCATTTCCCATCTCAGCTGTTCACTGTAAACTTAGTGAGTAGTTTTTCGTACAAGTCTTGACATGTAATTCTTCTAACCTAAGCTATAGCCTTCCAAGAAGTTTGTAACAAGCAGGTTTGGCCACCCATTCTGAAATCTCAGCGTGCACCAAATAGACAAATCAGAACTGGATCAATGTGCATTACATACAGAGCTCAATCCTGCTAAGAGGTAGGCTTAGGAACTAGCTTAAGCTAAGTTTGCAGGGCTCCTGCATTTTTTTACTGCATTTTTAAATTAAAATTATTATTACTAGATGTACCCTCTGTTCTTCTCTGCTTTCTGTCATGTCAGTGGGAATTGTAGCTTAAATAATGTAGATATGGAATTTTGGAAAGTTTTATTTTAGCAGCACCTTCATCTTTTCAAAAAGATTTTCTTTATTTTGAAAATAGCAAATTAATGCTTTAATTCTTCCTTCCTTGTTCCAACCCACCTGACTAAAAATCTCAAAAATATTATTTCAACAGAAGTCCATACAGCTCCTGCTATTTTGGTGGAAAATGACTAAGTTATGCTTATATTTATGCTTCTCAGATGGTGATGCCCAGACTACTGTTTCAAGAAATCATTAAAGAAAAAGTATTTTAATATAGTATAATGTGTATGACTTCTTGAAACATGCTTATATGAATATAAATAACAAATCAAAAAAACAGAGATATCTGAACTGAGGCATTTTATTTGTGACTGGGGAAATAGTCAACACTGCAGAGCAATAGCATGTAGGAGAGTTTAAATAACAAGATATACGGGAAGGCAGGTTAGAAGGAATTTTAGCATTTTAGTTCAGTTCTTTTGTTAACTTCTCTGCTGACATTTTAGTGTCCACAGGGAGTAGAAAAAATTTCAAAATTGTGTTAAAAATAGACCACGGTCAACAAGATGCTACATTTTATAGATTTTACTGGTAAGTGAATCAACTGAAATTAGACTGATTGGAGGAGGTTATTTTTTCTCTTGATCCATTTAAATACTACTTAATGGTTTCAAAGTACAGCAGTTTCATTTATAGGTTTAATAATCCAGCACAAACATAGACCCAGGTGTAGCAGCTGAAATTCATTTTCTCCTTACTTGGCAAAGAAAGAATAGTGATCCAAGAATAATTACAACATTTTGCTCATTTCCCATGCTTTCAGAGGAGCATTTAATACCCCAAGCACTTTAAATGGCTATTTTAAGCCATACAGAAACTTTAATGTCTAACTGTCTTAACTTAGTTTTCTCCTGCAACATAATCCTCAGTGGGGTGTCACCTACTCAGATATTCTCTTTTTGTGTTGTTTCATATCTCAGGATCTAGCATTTCTGATGCAAGTACAAGCTCCATAAAAATAGCTAGATATTCAGAACACAATCATAAAGTTAATTAAATTTTCTATTTAAAGTCTAACACTTTTTGCCAATAGAAACAGTCCTACCCACTTGTGAATGGATAGAAGTCCAATGACATTTTAAAAATAAGGCTTAAAATGGTAGAAGTCCACAATAAGGTGTAAAAAAGAGATGCATCTTAAATCATATATATTGTGGTATTACAATATATGCAATGGTATGAAAAAAATTCACTCTCTTACGTCCTTCAGTTTCTCAGGAAATGTGAGCAAGAACAATATTTTGCAGATGGGAGAGCACTGTAGTGTAGTGTAACTTCTCTACTCAGAGTTAAAAGTCTATAATCAAAATTGCAAGAACATCAGACTTGATTAATGAATATTGAAGGAGACAAGGTTTGGGGGAAGAAGATGATTTATTGCTCAGTATTTGAAATCCACTTCATTCAAATTCACTTATAAAGCAGCCCAGAGAATACCAGTGAAGGAGCAAACCCTGTGGAGGAGCTAACAATCGTACCAGTTCCTATACCAAATTCTGGTTCATATGTGGGAGACATCCAAAGTAATTTCCATCAGATATTCCTTCAATGCACCTATTAGTAGAAGACAAGTGGCATAAACTGGAACAATTTCTGCTCTTGCTCATGCAAGGATTAAACTGTTGCTCTATATAACACAAAAACTCTTTTTTTTTTTTTCCCTGTAATCTTTTGTCCTTCATTGCACAGACTTAAGCTGGATAAGAATTGGAAACTGCTAGTATACGTCCTTAGCAGAGAAGAACCAGCATGCATTCAGGTCTCAAAGTTCTGTTCATTGCCTTCTTCCAGGGGATTCGGGGACTTTATAGAATTTTTCTCTGTTCATATGATCATCCAGGTACAATCAACGTGGCAACTCCATTCCTTCTTTCCTTTGCAGTACCCAGAGACAGTATGCCCAGACAATCTCCTCTCTGGAGAATATTAGGTGGAGTGTGTCAAACCATTTCAGTTGCTCCTGGCAAACTTCTTGAGATGGAACATGCTTAGGTACAAGGAGCTTTCCGCTCATGAGCAAATGAAGTTCTCTCATCTACATTAATGGCTTTTGCAAACAGCCTGAAAGGCTCACTTTAAAGGCTTGTTTCCATCATTCTGTTGCATACAAGATATCCTTCTGTGCCACGTTTCTACTTTAAATCCAGAATGAGAAAAGATCAAGAATTTAAGTTGCAGACGTGCCTGATCATGAAAGCCTTACGCAGCCCAGGAGTCCACAGCTGTTACAAGCAAATGCCAGCCATGTTGGTCTCATCATACCATCTTCATCAAGCTGAGCTTTCTTCCCCTTGCACAAAGGCTGACACATTGGAAAACACAGACAAATGCACATCCTTTCCAGATCCCCGCAAAAGAAAAGCTTTTGTGGTCTGGAGACAAAGCATACATACACTTAAATGTATATATATGTCAGCTCTGCCTCTCTCGTCGCTCCCATTACTAGTAAGTAACCTTCTCTTCTTGTCAGGCTTTTATAATAGAAATCCTCAACATTTGGCCTTGAAGACTGTATGAGTATGAGTATGAGTCAGAAGTAGGAAACTTATTTCATCCCAGGAGATGGATATTTTGAACTGGCTTGAGATTTTTCCTGGTTTTTCAAGTAAAGATTCCATATACTCTGTTCTGTTTGATTTTGCCAACTGCGATTATAAGTTCAGTACCTTGAATCCAGGGTGTCCTAACTGACATTCCTACACATCTGATGTGATGGGTATCTCACATGAATCATCTGTGAGACTCCAAAAGAAGCTTCTTCAGTAAATTCAGTCTTCAAAAAAGAACAGATTTGACATTGATCTTAAAGAAGCAAAAAAAAAAAAAAAAAGCATCACCTAAAAGCAAAAGCCCATGAAATCCTCATTATATCAAAAGTGCTTTCCCAAAAAGGAAAGTTTTTCCAAAAATTCCTTTCCAAGTGACATTTTAAGTTTTTATAGCTCAAAAGACAGAAATCTTACTCTCTTTCTTAAAATATTCCTGAAGCCCCAATATAGCTGTATAGAAGCATGAAAACACAATGAAGAAGCAGTGCCTGCTGCAACTTACACAGTAAAGAAGTCAGTTAAAATGTAACAGAACAATTAGCCATTGTAATAGGTTGGCTGAATTAAAGTGGCTGAAGAATCCTGACTCAGACTCACACTGGAGCATTGAATTCTAACGTTATGTGGCAAACAAGGCAACTGACCTCAATTTCTCATCTCCCAGAAATTGTTAAAGGCATTAGTTTACTCACTTTCTTTCTCTGCCATGCTGAGCAAGGAATGGGATTGTAGCAGCTTCAGAAGCACCATGATCCTCAAAGTTTTGCCTCATTTCCAAGAGGCTTGAGGGGGAGCTCTAAGGGTCAATGTCTTCTACAGTGACTGGGGGGTCTACAGCTTTTGTGCTAAGCATCTTTCAGGGAGGCAGACCTGTTCCCTTCCTTTGGTGCCACATGTAAAAAAATCAAATAGTCTCCTCACAATATCAGAAGAATTTCCACAGTGGATTTTGTGTTTTGTTTTTCTGCCCTCATCCCCAAGGGAATCCTGCTCTTACCCCCCACATGAATCCATACCAACTCTAAGCCTCATATTCCTCTCCCAGTACTACAGGTGAGAAATTCCCAAACCAAAGTTATTTCTGTTTTTTTTCCAAACATAATTTTGCAGATATCTTTTTTAAAATTTACAAGGCCTCCTTGCCTCTGTTTGCAGACTTCTCTTTGTCAAAGCTCTACAGCAGGACACAATGTATGAAATGTATGCACAAGTTATGGTTCAGTTTACATTTTGAATATTGAACAGAACAATGAATGTTCTATTTGCTGTATTTCAAATATTTAATAACCACAGAAACAGTTACATGTTTCCAATGGCTTTCAGGCTCCAGGCAGGCCTGTTTTTTTCATTTTACAAACTACAAAAGAAAACAAATCATGTGGCTTCTGACAAGATGCAGGACCCAGACTAGATTTATGGCTCAGCATGGCAAACTCTCTGCTTGTCTCCACTCTTATCTTAGAGCTTTTCAGGCCTGACTTTCAGTGACCTTTTTGTATGCCACACTGGATTGTGCATTTTCTCAGTCCCACTAGTATTACAGTCTGCTTTTTCTCCAAGCCATTACTACACCCTGTCCTGTTGATGTATTCCTTAGCAATAATAATATCCACCATAGGCAATCTCATGATGATATAGCACACTATCTTACTGTCACGACAGCTGATTAAGATGTCTTTAGAATAATGTTCTTGTCCTCCTAATAGGCATGCTCCGTTACAAATAATATTATTCTGTACATTTTTAACAATTATACTCTGTGATTCTTAATTCCATAGCCTGCTAAAAGGCAGGGCAGTATAGTCTCTCCAGTCTTTCATTTTTTACTCCACTGGCAAACTACATCCTCACTGTTTCTTGGTCCTGGCCAGTTCCCTTAAGTTAAAGGGAAAACAATTTGGAGACTACTGCTATCAAATCAAGCAGACATTTATATTAGGGAAGCTATGAAACTTTGGCTAGCTTGCTGTTGTGACGGCAGTTGTAACAGCTGAGAGCATATCCCAGTGGAGGAATATAATTGTTTTCTGTCTGACCTAACAAAAACCAGAGCTGGCACCTTTATAAGAAGCTCTTATAATGAGCTAAATACACTGAATTTGGCCTATACTAGTTCAGTATACATGTGTGATAACAAAGGGGTGGAATTTCTTCATTACTTCAGTGAAATTACAGTGTAGAAAATGAAATAAAATAGTTATCCTTTCAACTGTGTTTTAATGATTTAAGGACAGATAGTGTACTTGCAAGTGTCTTGCAGTGCTTTCTGGCTTATTGCAAACTCAACAGTTAGGCTTGACTAGCTAAAGATGTATCTCATTTAAAATTATATCAGAAACGTGGGAATTCTAAGGGATCACCTAGTTTCAAAGCAACTTGCTTCCAACTATGGGCTACAGAAGTTGAGGAAGAAGAGGGTAACTCCTGAATTACATCAGAGATTTATGAATTATTCTAAGGAGACTGTAGGATGTAAGGAGGCAAGCCAGCAGGCTTGCATTTGCTCTGCAGGGGTTCAAAACATTCTTGCAAAGTTAGTAGCCTAGAAATAGGCTCTAGTAGGAGCCTAGAAAGAAATATACCAAAACAAATCCACAAACCTGAAGAAAAATTACCATAGAAATTCACTTGCAGTTTAGATTAAGGTCAAATTTGAAACTCACAGTTTTTAAATCAATGAGAAGGCAAATGACAGATGTAAATATTGCAGAGACTTAGGAAGTTATTACCAGTGCGATTTTAGTTATTTACATTACAAATCACTTCTGTAGACAGTACCACCCCACTTCAGGTATCTGACGATAATTCAGCCTCACTCCAATTTTAACTGTTTCTGATTTGTTCCAGAATTTAGCTTACGAAATCATTCTTACATTAGGACAAGCATTTGAGGTGGCCTATCAGCTTGCACTACAAGCACGAAAAGGGGGTCATTCTTCAACCCTCCCAGAAAGTTTTGAAAATAAACCCTCCAAGCCTATTCCCAAACCACGTGTTAGTATTCGGAAGTCAGTGGTAAGTAGAAAGTTGTGATGCATGCAAAAAAACAAAATTCAGCTATATTGTTAAGATATACCTAAAAGCTGTATAAATAAATATACCTGTTGAGTCAGAAATGCTCCATGTCCCAGCCATGCCACCTCTGCTCATCAGCCAGTGGGGTTGTGTCACTGCAGCCTGGGCAGCCATTTCCATCAATGGCTCAGTTCAGGTTCCTCCAGTTTAAGATGTTGCTTGGCTGGTGTTGCACATATGCATGTCTTTTATAGTCGTTGCAGAGCTATATTTGATTCAGTCTAATTCCAATGTACTGTGTTTTTTAAGTGTTGAGGATCACAGACAATGCATACTTCTAAAGCTCTGAAATTCCATGGACTTTTCTGATCTCCTGTCAAGAAATAAAATCCGCACCAAATTTGTTTGGTACACGATCACTGCATATGTATCCTAATTAAATTACAAATCCAAATCAATATACAATTACCTTGTCAGACCAAGCAACTTCTTTCTTACACTTTTTTTTGACCCTTGGCCAACCCTCCTGTTCCAAAACTGGGATTCATACCTTTTCAGTATTTCCTTTGGAATCCCGGACTCCTAAGAATCCAAGCTCATTGGAGACTATGTATTGATTGTCTTTAAAATGTCCTCCTGAAGTGCATAGATGACAGAGAAATATTCTTTTATGGCAGAGCTTTTAAAAAAATTCTGAAAACTATTTTAAATCAAGTGAGAATACAGGCACAGGGTGATTTGGGAGGGAAAGGGGAAAAAGGATCGCACACTGTATCATATTCACTGTCTATAAAGTGAGAACCATACTCTGTGATATTTAATTATTGGATGAGAGGAAGGGGGAAAAAAAAAATGTATGACTGTACACTTTGTCATCCATTGCCACAGAATCTTCCTCCATAAAATTTTAAGAAAGAACATTTCCTGATGCCATCATCTGTCTCGGTAAGCAAAAGGACTTCTCAGGATCAAGCATGGCTTTAATGAACTGTGATGCCCTATAGCTTGGGGATAGACATAGCTCTGATCTAAACAGGAAAAAGAGGGCAAGCATGGGTACATGGGAGTGTAGCCCACCAGACTTGGTTGATACAAGATTTGTTCTGTGTTCTATTAATTTTTAAAAAAACCCAAAAAGCTTCCACTAGAAATGCTGTGCACAGAGATGGTAACCCATCTGTATGTTTGCATTTGTCTTAAAGCAGATAGATCCATCTGAACAAAAGACTCTTGCGAACCTACCATGGATTGTTGAACCTGGACAAGAAGCCAAAAGAGGCATTAATACCAAGTATGAAACTACAATTTTCTGATACAAAACTGTCCCCCTGTTCCTTGTTGTGCCTTGCACGCCAAGCAGTCACAGCACAGCCTGTCCTTTATGGCAACGTTTCAATCCAGCAGAGAGGAAGACTGCACTTTATGAGTGGCCTTGTAACTAACAAAAAAAGGCTGACGGTCATTTCTGGTGATGTTCTTCTTCCTGCAGCACTGACAGAAGAATGACACTATATGAAGACACTTAAAATTACAGTCCACAAGAGGAGTGAGAAACCTTATTTTTCACGCAGTTCTCCCTTGTGACTCTGCCACAGTGCTTTCTTTGATTTCTTATTTAAGAATTCTACTTTTTAAAAAGAACAAAAGGTCTCTAATCTAATACTGATGCTGCCTATGAGTAGAATATTTAATTGGTTTTTTATTTAAATCTTGGCAGTTTTTAATTGAAATAGAACCAGAATTAATAAACAGAGTATTTATGAAACCACTGAATTCATTAATAATTACTGTCTTGAATAAAGAACTCATTAAAGTGACAAGAAATTATTAGGTACTCTGATTTCTGTGTGCGCTGCTTTTATATGTAATCAACGGTGTCCTTTGATCCTCTAAAGAAATAGGAACCTCTTGCATTGTAACAAAGGATCAGAGTTTTATGAATGGTTAGAAAAAGGTATTAATAATGCACAGAAAACATTTATTAGATATTTTTATGGAAGAGAAGTACTATAGGAAAACATATTAATATTTATGGAAGGAAGCCAGATTAATTATGACAAATATTGTTTATTTTAAAGTTAAGTAAACCACTGCTATTGCAACATTATGAAAATTATAAGAGTTGTAGCATCAGTGCACTGGATGTTCCGTGTGATCAGTCTGGAATGAAAGTGGAATGGTTATTCTACTACACCTACATAGAGTTTATGCAGTTCAACATTGCTATAGCCATGAATTCTACTAGTATTTTTTAAAAATAATCTCAGTGGTTCTAAAAAAAGTCAAAACTGGATTTTGCTATCAAGATTTCTGTCACAGAAAGCTTGTTTGGAAAAGTGCTGATAAAATTCTACTGCAAAACTTTTTCTAAATAAAAATAGTGAGAAAAAGAAAAAAATTCCAAAGTAATAAAAATGTTTTCATGGAACACAATAGTTAAGCATTTGCTTAATATTTGATTGAATAAGATTTACTTACATTTTCTTTGAAGTATTTTAATTTTTTTAATGTCTGTGGAGTATTTGTATAATACCATGATGTATATTTATGTAGAACTGAAATGATAACAGTACAAATATCACTATAGGAGAAAAATGAAATTTTAACGTATATTGTTCTATCCAGTCAAATTGTGAATCATTTTGAAGTTCATTATAGAGATATTGATAAATTGTGTGGTTGTCTTAATGTTTTTTTAATTATTATTTCATATCCAGCTGAGGTTTTCAGTTAGAATCATCAGTTGGTGAATTCCAAAAAATGGATAATTGAACTTGGTTTAAACCTGATAATTGTATATGGTTTAGTTAAACCTAATCATAGCGCTGAGTGATGACATACTTTTAATACAGTATTCAATTTACTTGAACAAAATAGTTCCTTGTACATATTTTTGCCTATTCACTGTTGATATGTACGTAGTCAACTGACAGTAAAAAAAAAAAAAACAACACTAAAAATATGGTACCAAAAGGAAAATTGTATAGGAGAACAGTAAATAGTAGCCTCACTGCAACACATACTTATGTAAATATGCTTGGGCTTCCAGTTATAAATTTTGTAATTTTGTCATTTATTTATATCCTATAAAAGCACACAAAATAAAATGAACTTGTACAGTCCCAGTGGTTTATGCATCATTTTATCATTGCTAAAGGAAATATGGGGCCTAATGCAAAGGATACTGAAATCGGCAAAAGGTCCTCTGCTCCCCTTTCCCTGATTTCTTTGAGCTTTGGATCTTATCCCCCTCAAACCCGGGCATTGCTGTGGAGACAGCTTTGGTTTAGAATACAGATTTTGTTTACAGATGGTAAATACTTCATGCTTTAAAGTCCTTAATTAACTGGTTCTTCAGTGCACTATTGAACTGCTGACTTCCTGTATTTAATCACACCCTGTAAAGACTCAGACAGGCAGTTATGTTAAAACACATTCACTTCAGGCACCAAATGTACAAAGTGGCCAGATTTTCAGGCTATAAAACTGGGGCACCTCTTATGCAGGTGACTGACCCCTAAAATTAGAGGATGAGGCAGGAGCTGCAGCACAAGTCTAAGCAGATGTAAGGGAAAGGAGTGAAACAACATGAAGGTTGCAGGAAGAATTTGATCCAGGTTCATCAAAGAGATGTCAAGGAGGTAAGGTGGCAGAATAAGCTGCTGAACTTGTTTGGGAGAGATAATTGGGGCAAAAGAGACTGAGGATGGCTAGCAAGACTAATGGAATATGAGAAGGATGAAAGACTGGTGGGGCAAGGAATGAGCATGAAAAGTATTGGGACACAGTGAGGCAGCAAACAATTGTAGCCCCCACAGCAGACATATAAATTGAAACTGGAAGGAGAGAGAAGAGTTAACAGGCATAAGAGGCTTCTGTATTTGCAGAAATCTGGGATTTTAGAGGGAAATATTTCCCTCGCTAACTGATACTAGCATCAGCCACTTGGAGAGAAGTCCATGGGGTTCTGTCTCGCATGGGACAGTGGTTCAGCATTCCTTTCTTCAAATCCAAAGAGACTTGTACAAACCTGCAGTAACACAAAGCAGTTACCACATGATCTTTTAGTCCTTTTTTGTCAAAGTGAACAGCTGATTTTTCATTAAACATTCCAAGTATGCTGGAAATGTATAGGCAGTAAGGGGTCAATGGTCAGTCTTAAAAGTGAAAATAGAGGAAAAGCCAGACACCTGCAAAAGATCAGAAAATGAGGACAATTGCTATTCTTGACCTCTACTCAAGGTAAGAGGGAAGCAGAGGCAGTCAAGGAGAGTACATGAAGAAACTGGAGCATTTGGATGTTGCATAACCAGGAGTTAACTGCAACATCTGCCTTACAGTGGAAGGGTGGAGAATGGACAAAAGAAGAGAGACTATATGGAAGAAAACTGCATTTGACCTAGGAAGATAAGGAAATTTTAATCAAAGTGAGGTAAGTGTGGGTGACAAAGGACTTTGAGAATTATTTGAGTACTGAGGTCTCTAATATGCAAGGTTAAAAAGCTGCTGTGGTGAGAAGGCTTAAAGACTGGAAGAACTCCTGGAGGAAACAATAGGGAAATTGTGTTGAGGAGGTGAAGGGTTTCCTAAAGCAGATGTTGCATTTCAGACTGGACATAGTGACTCCTCCAACCTGGCCTGGTAAAGCCAGCAGAGATACTGCTCACAGCTGGTAGGAGGAGACACTCAGCATATCTGGTTCTGGTATTCTGCCAATAAGTTTATGAGAGGCTGCTTCTCCTGCAGAACCACAATGTTACAGATGCCTTGCAGTTTGAAGCCAACATCCTGGCATCAAAAACTGGCATGGCCATAAAATGGTGACCATGGGGAAGAGGATCAGAAGGACATGAAGAAGGCCTTGTCAGTCCTTTGGAAAAGAAAGCAGCATGCTAGACAACCAATAAACTTTCAGGACCAACTGTGAAATAGTTTATAGCTTCTGTTCGAGATTAAAACAGGCAGTTTGTGACATGTGCAGAACTCTCATTTAATTTTGCCCTAGATTTCTTTCAATGTGTGCTGTTCAGCTTTCACACTTCACTGGAGGATGATGTCTAAGATGTCATCAAGACAACAGTCTAGAAAGAGTAACTGCAACTGTCTCTAAACTACCAGCCCAAAGAACAATTGATTCTACAGAGGAACTGTGTTGCAGTGACAAGAATGTAAGTTAAAGACATGGCATAAGGATTAGAGACAATATTTAAATGTGGGCACTTATTTAAGAAAAGGGATATGAGTTATCAGATGTAAAAAAACCAGCTGAAAAGAGTGGGATTAAAAAGGACTCAACTTGCTGGAAGTATTGAGAGGATTTTCAGCTCACTGGAAAGTTCAGGCTTCTACTGCAAAGCTCAGTAATTGTTTAGTGCTCCATAACTTCTTAAGGTGAACAAACTTCATTGTTAGACTAGCAAACTGATGATACTGCTATGAAGTTCAGCCTTGAATACACTGGTTCTGGTTAACTTTCACACCTGTGAGCTGATAACCCAAGCTAGACAGAGGATGATCACAAGCTCAGCTAACTGAAACGAACACACAAGATTCACTTGCAGCCAGAGTTCACGCTAGAATATAGATTTTCTGGAACTGGTGGATGATTTCCTTCCTACTGACTAGACAGTCACAGTCATCCTCATTACAATCCTGAATGCCACCAGCCAGACACCACTGTCCTACTGAAGAGGCAGAAAAGGGAAAGCAGGGGAAAGGCCTATGGTGCTTGCTTTTCAGGAAAGATACGCTCCAAATGCAGGAATAGGAAACCACCTCTATGCCTGGCTCCTGCTCTTGTATAATACCACAAGCAAATTTCTCTTCAATACTACTGCTTAATATGTACGTGCATTTGCTAGTGCCACAACTTTCACCTTTCTGCTATGGAAGTCAGGTACCTAGATATCTTTGAGAATATGGGTCTGGATAAAGTGGTAACAACTGGACAGACAAAAATGCTATTCATACATAAATTAAACAAATTTCTCTCTCTCTCTCCACCAAGAGCTTGGAAAAGAAAACTACTTTTTCTATCAATCAAGAAAGCTGAATTCAAAACACTTCACAATCACATAAGAAAAAGTGAAGTTTAGACAGAAACTGAGGGCCTTAGACTTCTTCCTCACACACAGAAAATATATTACAGATTTAATGTCATAAGCTTGCTTAATTGTAAGATACATGCCTTTTGGTCATTTTTTTAAACATGGCAATTCCTACCTTCAAGTCCTTAGAAGAACTGCTCAAATTCTCCAGATCCTTACTCAAAGCTAAATTTATTCTAATATTAAATCCTTTTAAAAAACAAAATGAAAAAAATCACACACAATGTTAAGGATGGCTCAGTGATTGAGGGAACATGCAAATTTGAAGGCAGTGTGTTTGTTATCATCTTTTCTAAACAAGTATTAGAAAACCCAGAAATTCAAGATGAGACAAAGGAAATGACAATATGTTCCAGTATAAATACCCAAAGAGTATTAACTTTATCCTATAGTGACACCATGAGGAAAAAAGAAATAGACTACACTAATTTTAATGATTAGGTGCAGTGCAGTCTTCATTCTTGTGCTTGTGATTATTGGATAATGATAATTGCTAGGCTACAGAATTAAGGGCTTGGGCATGTCCTAAGCAAAAATATCCTAACTGATATAATTGAGGTTAGCACTACTTATTTATTGAGTTTATATTGCAGAGAAGATTAATATTTTTTATTTTAACTTATCTTTATATACTTACACTGCTATATACGGTCTGGGAGGTATCAGTGATGTTCACCTAATCCAGTGATGGATTAGGTGAACAATTCTGTATTGGAATTGAGTGAATCTACTGAAACCTCCTAGTATCTGTGAATGCTGTATATGACTGAAGGTTAATATGAAAAGATGTTAGATCATTCATCACAGCCACCTCTCCATTGCAGCCATTGCCTTTCACTCAGCTATACTTACTTCAAGTTTCAAGAATTTTCTAGGCTAATTACCTCAAACCTAGAAAATTAAACTGATTGCTAGGAAAACTAAAAGACAAATACGTGCTGCACCTGAAGGCACAGCTCATCTGTGTTCAATACTGCACTTCCTAAAGTGGCCAATCTGAAAGGAAGGTGAAAAGATGTAAAGACCAAACTATACAGTACAAGAATGAAGTTCTTCCTGATCCACAGATGACTAACAAACCCCCTGAATCTTAGTGTTTCATTACAATCACTCTCCTAGCACAGACTTTGCAGACCTGAGACAAGGAATTTTATTACTGTCTCTTAAGTTCCTTTCTGTACCTATTTTTAGGTGAGACATGCAAAGCAAGGGAATAAAGATCTTAGCTTTATAATAATCCATAACATTTGAAGCATACAGAACATTTGGAAGCATTTAAGTAGAAACTGAATGTTTTTCTCAGATGTTTGTTTAGACTCAGTTTGCATAGAGAAATAGAAATTAAGAACTAATTCCATCACTTGACAAGATTTTACAAGGTGGTTTTTTGTTTTTTTGGTTTTTTTTTTCTTTCAGCCAATAGACCTTGTTATTCTTTTGTCAGCAAGGTTGAAATGTCCTGCCTCTCTCCCACACCTCATGAATACGCCACTTCTCAGCCTTCTCTCCAATACAACTCAAACTTTGCACTGCAAAAGTTTTGCCCAGCCCTTGGATCAACTTT